TAAAAAGAAACCGACAACGAGTGACGAGGCTGTGGCCTTGGCGGACGCCTTAGAGTTATCCCGATGACAAGGGCTGTTCCGGGAGGCGACACGCGTACGCGAATCCCGCGAAACTCTGGTGCACAGTAATGCCACGTGCACTCACTATTACACGCCCGATAGAAATCCGATAAGTTGCCTCCCGGACGCGGAAACCGGCGACTTTACAGGGGTGACGCTTGTCTCATCGTGACTCCCTCGCAGGTGCTCGTCCTAATTGACCTTGGAAGGCTCTCAATCCGTTGACGTCCTGCGTCCTCTCGCGTGCTCTCTCCAAGCGGGCCACAACTCAAGTGCCGGGCGCTAATCCTCCCGGGCGCACGCAAGGCTCGTTATCCCCGCGAGGGGGCCTTATTGCACCTGATTGGCGCGTAGCCCCGAGGCTCCGCTAATCGCGGAAACCGCATCATGCTCGTCGCATATCCTGGCGCGCGAAATTCGAGAGATCTCGGGAGTCTTTTTCAGGCCGCCTCGTGGCCTCGTGGCCTCTAGGCGCCTATCCGGGGCTCTCGTCATCTTTGGGGCGTAGAGTGGCTTTCCCCCTCATGCCGTACCGGCTCTCGATCGGCTTTGCGCCTGGAAGAGGGTGCGATAAAAAAATGCTTTGCGTTAATCAAAAGGGCGTAACAATGCAGAAAGGATATCACCTGCGTGCGACCCGGAGTCAGATGTCATGCACCTCCGGCGGGTTTGTCATCAGTGGTCGTCTCTTGACCCCCAATCCTGGTCGTTCTTCCTTCTCTTCTTCCCGGCGTGTGCGCGCGCGCGCGTGTGTGTGCGTGTACATATATACAACACATGTTTAAACTTTATTTACTGAATTATTTACACATGCATATATCAAGGTTCAGAACGTGATGTGTTTCGGTTGAGCTTTCTTTCTGCTCGGATGTCGGAACGACAAGCGCCCAGGAGACCCAGGACGCATATAAATGAAATTTTCGAATACTCTTTGCTCTTATACTAAAGCTCGTAACTCGTTTCTGCAAGCATAGTATTGTTCTTTGAGATTTTCTGTAAATCGCCAGCTACTTATGCAAGGTCTGAAATTATTGTATACAACACATTTTTGATTCGATTCGGATGTCGAGTCTTAGTAAGAAGCGCCATTCCTCCTATCGGTCGCGCGCAAACGAAGTAGTATCGCTATTCAACTATAGAAATGGATTAAACCATTGTAAATAAACCAGCAATATACTATCAGCCGGAAACGCCATAATAATATATTTATATATATATAGAAATATATATCAGGATCGTTGTTTAGAAAAGGAATCATTCAAGGGGTCCTTGCTGCATCGGCGATGATGCCAGAATCGATAGAAATCATATTCTTGAATTGCAGAACGAATTATTGAAACAAAAGTACGACAGAGTGAGACAGAGAAAAAACAAAAAAGGATAGAAACTCCGATTGTAATCGGTGAGACTTCGCATGCCGAGTTGGGCTCGTCGAACGAAACAGCGAGTCTATCCTTCAGAGTCTCTCTCTCTCTCTCTCTCTCTCTCTCTCTCTC